GGCATTAACATTTATGTTCCTTTAGTACTGAGATGTATTTTACTCCAAAGGCATGTATCCTATAGATAATAAAAACATGAGTTTTAAGATTCCATTTTCTAATTGTCCAGAAAAAGGATGCTCAGAAAGCAATTCTGAAGAAGATCTCTCTGAGAAAAGAATGTGCTAGAAAAAAGGTGAATTTATTAATGCTGCTTCTTAATGTTCTATACTGTCTGTACTATCTCTTTATTAAAACAGATGTTAGAAAATAGTTTATCTTATATAATCCAAGAATTTTGTTGCTTTCAGCCCTGTATGTAATGATACAAATATACTGTTGTTGTGACCACCAGATGTCGAATAGTAGTTCTAATATTTTTAAGTAATATATTACTCTTTAAGTAAGTGAATCTTATCCTAATAATGTCTTGCTTTATATTGCCCAGATAGATTTTCTTTTTATAACTGAAATGACCACTTTAAAATTGGCTGTTAACATAATTTTCTTGCAAACATTTGGCTTAATTTATCTTTATGACAATGTTTGTTACTTCCCAACTAAGTTTAAGTGTGTAGCTATTCCAGAATCCAGACTTTAGACTGATAGCAGAATTGTCCTTTCAAGAGGTAGTTAAGTTGTCACATTTAAAAAGAAACACATTTTTTCCAATATGTGTTATCACAAATTTAGATTATTAAAAGTGAAAATGGTGAAAATCTAAATTTATTTTTTACCAATTTCTTCTAGACTTACAGCTTAATTTCCCATTTCTCATAGATTTGGATGATGCAATTATAACTGGGTTGCAAAGTTAGTAAAGGAAATATTTACAGCAAAACAAAACACAGGTTTGAAATATTAAGAATGCAACTTTAGAAAAAAAAGTATTAATGTTGGCCTACATTTTTAGATCATACCTCTTTAACTCTGCTATCCCTTTGGCTAGGGGGAATAGACACTAGGCAGATAAAACATGATTAACTGCTGCTCTGTTTCATAGGTTCATAGAAAATTAAGGTTGGAAGAGACCTCAGAAGGTCATCTAGTCCAACCCCCTGCTCAAAGCAGGACCATCATGCTAGCCAGGGGTTTGTCAGGCCAGGCCTTAAAAACCTCTAAGGATGGAGATTTCACTATCTTCCTAGGTAAGCCATTTCGGTGCTTCACCACCCTCCTAGTCAAATAGTTTTTCCTAATATCCAATTTAGACCTTTCCCACTGCAACTTGAGACCATTGCTCTTTCTTTTTCTTTTTTTGTCATCTGCCAGCACTGAGAATAATCTAGCTCAGGGGTCAGCAACATTTCAGAAGTGGTGTGCTGAGATTTAATTTATTCACCTCTGTACGGATCAGAGTGTCAGTGATACTTTTTAAAGTCAATAATCCTACTTACAGCAGCTTCATTAATAAATAAATTATCACGCTGATCTTACTGTTTAGTGTGATCCTTGGCTTTGCTTTCCGTTGCTGAGTTCTCCAATCTCAGGCTCATAATTTGATACTTTAAGCAGCACACAAGCCTTTGAGGGTTCAGTTGTTAAGCAGCTGTGGGAGGGACAAACAACTGTCTTTATATGTGAAAATATCTGTTCACAGAAGTATGTAGATCCAAAGGCTCAGAGCAGTGAAAATTCCACTTTCTTTAAACAGTCAAATTTCGCTGACAGGGGATTCCAACAGGCCATGATAGAAACCACATGATCTTTCTTGGTAGCCTCAAGTGTGCGCAGCAGATCCCTAAACTTAGAGGCCCATAAGTCTGAGCATTGTAATTTAATGAGCTGCATTTCAAAATCCTCAACACCCATCTGCTGAAACACTGTCAAATCCATGTTGCTGGCAGTAAAGTTATCTTTTTTTATGAGAGAGGAAAACATTGGGCCAAAACTTTGGAAATGTTGAAATGTCAGAAAATTCTGATGCGAGTTCTTGCAGATACATTCTAATTTCAGCAACACTCATGGTGCGATGTTTCAATAGTTCTTTAAGATGTTGGAAAGAGCAGAAAGTCCAGGTGTCAATGCCCCGAGGAAAAAACAGCAAGTTCTTCTTCGATGTGCCCCGTGGGTGCTCCACTCTAGGTGTCGGGTCCGTCCCGGCGCCACTGGTCGGAAGATTTCAGAGCCATACCGGGCCGGGCCGCGCATGCTCTCTGCGCTGCTGGTCGTTCGCGCCCTTTCCAACGATCGCGGCTCGGCCCCCCCGACAGTTCCTCTCAACCCTCCACTATTTCCCATTCCAAAGACGTTACGATTACCAGTTCCGCAGACAACAAAACCGTCCATACGATCAGAACCGGTCCAAGCAAAGGACACAGCGCAGACGCCCTCAGCCACCCAGGGTGAATAACGCAGGAGCACCCAAGCAGCAAGTTTGACTTTCAGGTCGAGGGCACGCCGGTCATTCCGGTAACAGTCAGAGACACCACTCCACAAAACGCGTCAAAACCTTCCAATAGCTTAGCCAATGAACATTGCTGTGAAGTGGAGTGTACATGTATTCACTGTCCATTTCCTCAGGCAGAGCTTGAAACTGATAATGCATCAAGACAGATTGAGCAGCAAGAAAATTCACGATCTTCACCACTGTAGTCATCACATTATTAAGCTCAGAGTTAGAAATCTTGGCGCAAATATTTTCTTGGTGAATAATGCAATGAATATTTACTATCGGGTGGCCAATTTCATTCTCAATGATCTTTACAAATTCCTTCTATTTTCCAAACGTAACAGGGGCACCATCATTTGTCATAGAAAATATTTTTCTGATATCAATTCCTCTTTCAAAATGATTAACAAACATCTTTGCTATATCTTCTCATGTCGTTGTACCATGCATGGCTTTTAGGCAGCATAGCTCTTCTTGAACTTTGTCGGAGGCACAGTATCTTGCAAGAACTGTTAACCGTGTTATGCCATTTATGTCCACACACTCATCAAATGCAACACTGAATACAGCTGCATCTTTTAATGCCAACGTCTGTTGTTTGCTAACGTTTTTTGCCATTTCACCTATGCACCTTGCCACTGAAATGGCAGAGAAAGGCAAGTCTTTTATTCTGGAGGTGATTGTGTCTTTATTGGGCAAGCCATTGAACAAAACATCCAAACAACTGTGAAAAGCCTCTTTTATATAATCTTTTTCTGTAAAAGACTTTCCATGTTTTGTAACATAATGTATGATTCTGTAACTTCCCTTTGTGGCTTGACTTTTAACGTCAGAGAACTTAGTGAAGACAGCGATTAACTTTTTGTATGTCACAATGGCCTGTTTCACTGACTCAGTCTTGTCTGCTTTGTCCTTGAAGTGTTTCTCATGCTTTGTCTGGAAATGTCATTGGACACTTGATGTGCGGCAAACCACTCTCTCACAATATAGAGCACAAACAGCACAGTCTTTATGTTGAACAAACCCATATTCGTCTGTTCAAGAAGGCTAAAATGAGTGAACATCTAAGTTTGCTTTCTTAGGAACCACCCTTAGTTGCTAAGAACCAATTCTTCCTGCTGCCAGGATCACTGTCTATTTTTTTTTAAAAATATACTATTTTGATGACTTTTCTTCTTCCCTCCCTCCAGCTTTGGCTGCCTCAGAATAACATGAAGCTAGTGCATGAGGAGTGGGGGGGAATCTGGAGGCGAGCAATAGATTTTTCAGGATATTCAGTACATCAGTGGTTCCCAACCTTTTCAGGCTTATGGAACCCTTTTCAATCTATTAAAATGTCTCTTCTTCCTCCCCCCTCTCCCCCACCAGGGAAGAAAGGAAAAGAACGTATGGAGAAGAAAGGAAAAGAAATATAAGGAAAGAAAAGTAATGATTGGGCCCACCCAATCCAGTCACCCTAGCCCTCAGTTTTGCATTCCAGAAATATACTGTTTTACACAGTTCAGAACGTTTTCTTGAACAGTGCAAGCTCATTAATTAATTTACCACTTTGTCAACAGAAAGTGGACTTAGAATCACAGAATACAAGAACTGGAAGGGACTTCAAGAGATCATCATGTCCAGTCCCCTGCCATCACGGCAGGACCAAGCACTGTCTAGATCGTTCCTGATAGATGTCTATCCAGCCTGCTCTTAATTATCTCCAGTGATGGAGATACCACAACCCCCCTAGGCAATTTATTCCAGTGTTTAACTGCCGTGACAGTTAGGACATTTTCCCCAATGTCCAACCTAAATCTCCCTTGCTGCAATTGAAGCCCATTACTTCTCATTAGAGGCTAAGGAGAACAATTTTTCTCCCTCCTCCTTGTAACACTGTTTTAGATACTTGAAAACTTCTATCATGTTCCCTCTGTCTTTTCTTTTCTAAACTTAAGTCCAATTCTTATAGTCTTCCCTGATAGCTCATGTTTTCTAGACCTTTTATCATTCTTGTTGCTCTTCTCTGGACCTTCCCCAATTTCTCCACATGTTTCTTGAAATGTGGTACCCAGAACTGGATACAGTACTCCAACTGAGGCCTAATCAGTGCAGAGTAGAGCTGAAGAATGACTTTTCATGTCTTGCTCACAATACTCCTGTTAATGCATTCCAGAATCATGTTTTCTTTTTTTTTTACAACAGTGCAACCCTGTTGACTCTTTTAGTCTCTAAGGTGCTGCAGGACTATGTGTGGTTTTTTAAGTTTTTTTAATTACAGACTAACATGGCTAGGCCTCTGAAACTGACAAGACAGATTTACATATCAATTTGCAGGTAGATTGTTGGTGTTTCATCAAGAAGAATCCACTCTCACAGATGTCTTAGAGAGGGCACATATTCAAAGGGGCCTATCTGATTTCCATCTTACAGCAAACATTTTTCCAGGACCTGGGGAAAAAAACCTTGTAAATTAGGGCCTCTCTCCTCCCCAATCTCTATACCCAAAAGATAATTTTGAAGACAAATATTTTGAACTGTCAGGATGAGAAGGGAGGTCAGCCCATGTATTAAAACCTGTACAATATTCCGTTAAAGTTGGAATTTAGGCTGTAATTTTATTTTTATTTCTTATGTAACCAATGATGTACTCTGTGCCTAATAATTAAATCTTTTTCTGTAGGTAATAACATTATTTTAATGTTTTCTCATTGCCAGTTTATCTAAAGTGCTTTTGGAATGGGTTCAAATCACAAAGGCTGATGCATGTCAAACAAATCTTTAGTAATAGAGATGTAGCCGTGTTAGTCTGGTCTTGCTGAAACAAAAGACAGGACTACGCAGCACTTTAAAGACTAACAAGATGGTTTATTAAGTGATGAGCTTTGTGGGCCAGACCCACTTTGATCTGAGGAAGTGGGTCTGGCCCACTAAAGCTCATCACCTAATAAACCATCTTGTTAGTCTTTAAAGTGCTGCGTAGTCCTGTCTTTTGTTTCAGCAAGACCAGACTAACACGGCTACATCTCTATTACTAAAGATTTGTTTGACATGCATCAGCCTTTGTGATTTGAACCCATTCCAAAAGCACTTTAGATAAACTGGCAATGAGAAAACATTAAAATAATGTTATTACCTACAGAAAAAGATTTAATTATTAGGCACAGAGTACATCATTGGTTACATAAGAAATAAAAATAAAATTACAGCCTAAATTCCAACTTTAACGGAATATTGTACAGGTTTTAATACATGGGCTGACCTCCCTTCTCATCCTGACAGTTCAAAATATTTGTCTTCAAAATTATCTTTTGGGTATAGAGATTGGGGAGGAGAGAGGCCCTAATTTACAAGGTTTTTTTCCCCAGGTCCTGGAAAAATGTTTGCTGTAAGATGGAAATCAGATAGGCCCCTTTGAATATGTGCCCTCTCTAAGACATCTGTGAGAGTGGATTCTTCTTGATGAAACACCAACAATCTACCTGCAAATTGATATGTAAATCTGTCTTGTCAGTTTCAGAGGCCTAGCCATGTTAGTCTGTAATTAAAAAAACTTAAAAAACCACACATAGTCCTGCAGCACCTTAGAGACTAAAAAAAAATGAAGATGGTATTATGAACTTTTGTGGACACAAGCCACTTCAGATGTCTTGTCAGTGTTAGTTATTACTTCGTGGCCATTGAAAAGCTAGCTGTGAGTGAGTCTCATTTACCATGTATTTCATTTATAAATGTAGTTTTACTTCATAACTTCACATATAATGATAGCACATACCATACAATTCTACAAGGGTATGTCTACACTACAAAGTTAATTCGAACTAACAGCCGTTAGTTCGAATGAACTTTCATAGGCGCTACACAGGCAAACCGCTAGTTCGAACTTAATTCAAACTAGCGGAGTGCTTAATTCGAACTAGGTAAACCCCTACGAGGACTAACGCCTAGTTCGAATTAAGTAGTTCGAATTAAGGGCTGTGTAGCCACTTAATTCAAACTAGTGGGAGGCTAGCCCTTCCCAGCTTGCCCTGGTGGCCACTCTGGGCACAACCAGGGAAACTCGTCTGCCCCCCTCCCGGCCCCGGAGCCCTTAAAGGGGCACGGTCTGGCTACGGTGCCCGTGCCAGGTGCAAGCCTGCCAGCACCCAGCCAGCAGACCCTGCACC